AGCTGCACTCCTCGACACGGAGTGTAGCCAAGCAGTGAAGGAAGAACTAAGAAGGGACTAGCTATGCTAGAAATTTAGCTAGCACCAAAAGCGCATCCAACAACCAGGTGTTTTTCGTTTCGAGATGTCATATTATTATAACATCTGCAGTCCAATAAAAGGGCATAGAGCTATCAAAAAACCATGGGAATCAAAGGAAAAGCAAGTTGATCAAAAATTAAACGAAACATTTTTAGTCTGTTGTTTCCTATACCTATATTTTCTTCTTTTTCGCCGGTCGATACAGTAAACATGTGAAACAATACAATTATGTATACCGTTCTTCCAGTGATTTCAGTTGCGGGCCACGTCTTCAAGCGCGTTACGCCATTGGCACTCCTCATTCTTGGGTCCCCATCCCAGAAGCTGTACGTGTCCAATGGCGTCTAGATGTGACGTCCACCATTTCGTATGCTGTCGTCGGGTGGAAGATTGACCAGCACGCCGTCACCACCTGCCCGATCACCGACGAGCGGAAAGAGCCCAGCGCGACAAACGCTCAGGCGCTATGAGTAAGACGTGACCGAGCCACCTCAACTGGCGCAGCTAAACTAACTTGTTGAAGGGAATACTCGCATTCCCTAAGACGCGGCGTCGGATGTTATCACTGCGAACTCGATATTGCCACCACACACGAGTGATCTTGCTTAAACAACTGTTAGCAAATGCGAAAAGACGATCCAGGTCCCCCACACGAATTGGCCAGGACTGGCTCCCATGCAACAACACGCGACTGTTTATCAAGAATGAGACGTCCCGATGACACCACAAGTACATCAGATTGATAAATACTCATCCAATCTTAGCGGTGTCAAGATAATTTCATTGTTGACAGTGTCACCAACTCCCAAGGTAACTGAAACAATCTACCTGTACACTTTGTGCACCTTCAAGAATTAACATGGGAGCATCATCATCATCATCAACAGCAGCACATCAGCCATTTGAACTGATGCTTCGCTGCCATACAACCACGACGACCTATGAAATAAAGAATAAGAAGAGGGAGAGAAGAGAGACTTACCTGAAAACCTTAATGCCCTAAGCAAACATTCTGGGTCAAGGCGCCTACACCTTGTGTAGACAACATACCGTCACAAACAGCTGCTTAGCGTGTAAAGAAGGCGGCATTGGCAAGACAGCTTCCTTGCGGCGTTCACTGCCACGCGTCATAATCAACCATTATTCCGCAGATAATTCAGCACCAAACATACTTTAAACAGGCAATCCGATTAGAAGACGGCAGCAGACGCGCCACTGGGGTCTACTGCGAGCCATGTCCTGTAAAGTCTCCAGTCAAGCACAAGCCGAGTCACTAGGACTCCAACCCGGAAGGCGAGACGGACCAACGGCACCGAGTTTGGTTGGCAATGACTTCATTTCCCGCTGCCAAGTCAACTTCTGTCAACCTCCAGCTTTGTGCCACACTACACTTGGTAGACTAAACAAGGTTCTTCTATGTAAGCGGTGACCAGGCATACGTAGCACGTGCCCGAGCCAAAGCAACTTATTCAGTCTTATCTGTTGTTCTAGGGAGCTAACATGATTATCACCACCTAGTACTCGCCTACGCACATCATCGTTGCGGACACGCTGGTGTTGTCCGACTCCGGCAATGCTCCGCACACAACGATGATCAAAGACTTGAAGACGCCGCAGCTCTTCAGACCGAAGGGGCCAAGTTTCACTACCATAGAGCAGAACGGCCCTCACTGTGGCCTTGTATATACGGCCTTTCAGACGGAGGGAAACTCCCTTCTGTCGCCAAAGATGCCGCAGGTTCAAGTAGGCAGCTCTGGTCTTTGCGATGCGTGAGCTGACGTCAGTTTCTATGCGCCCATCATTGCTGATGCAACTGCCAAGATAAGTGAACTGATCAACCACCTCGAGTTCTTCGTTAGCAAGCGTCAAGGGGTCATCAAGTGGCTGGTTGTCCTGAAGCAACACTTTGCACTTCGGAGGTGCAAAGTGCATACCAAATAATGAGACCACTCTAGACAGGCTATTCAGGGTTGATTGTGCCGCCGCAATACATCGGTGGATTCCGTCAGGGAACACTCCATGATAGAATCCACGACGAAATTGAACCAAAATGGGGAAATCGGACAACCCTGACGAACGCCACTTGTAGTCGAAAAGCTATCCGATAGGACACCCTAGACCCTGACGCGGCCTGTAGTGTTCGAGTATAGAGCACGAAGGATGTTCACATATTTCGTGGGAACAACTTTTCGCGCAAGTATTTCGAACAGAATCGATCGATCGACTGAATCGAACGCATTCTTGAAATCGAGGAACACAGCTATTGTCGGTCTGCGGTATGCGTGGCGCTGCTCTAGCACCTGTCGCGAAGTGAATATATGGTCTATACAGCTACGTCCTGGGCGGAAACCGGCCTGCTCTTCCCTAATCCGAGATTCCCGTTCTGCAGTGAGGCGACGAACGAGAATCCAGGCCAATAATCTTGTCACAACTGGCGTTAGGCTAATACCCCTGTGGTTAGAACAGTCTGTGCGGCTGCCCTTTTTGTATATTGACATTATAATCGATTCGCCCCAATTAGCCGGGACACTCTCTTCCTTCCAGATACGTTCGAATAAGGACGTTAGTGCTCTGCAGAGGACCGCATCTCCATCTTTAAATAGTGCAGGTGGGAGGGAATCCGGGCCAGCGGCACGAAAACGATTGAGGGCGGTGATCGCGTTTCGGACCTCGGCCTCCGACGGAGGCTCTAAACTAACCGTCCATGGCTCGTCCTGCATCACCTGAGTAGAGAGAGGTCCGGGAGCAGGGGGGCAGCTGAACTGATCTTGAAAGTGTTCCACCCAACGAGCCATACGGCGCTCCTTATTGTGTATCAGCGCACCCGCGCTGTCTCTGATTGTCTCACTGACACCTGGTTTTCTGGGATCAGTGGTGCGGATTAGCTGGAAGAGCTTGTGGTAATTGCCTACTGTTCCTGCCTCTTCCATTTCTTGAGCCCTACTGGTCCACCAGGCTTCCTTGTCAGCACGTAGGCTCTGCTTTAGTTCACGTCTAATAGCCCGTCTGTGGGCCATTCTTGGAGCAACACTAAACCCTTCGGCTGGGCGAAGCTCATGGTATATTTAAAAGTTTTAAACACCAAACGGTCTAGAATGAGTTGTATGCCCTGTGGATCGTCATTAATTAAGGTGATATTACCAGTATTAACTAATTCGAGATCGAGCTTACCCAGTAGAAGCTCCATGTCAAGATTTCGGTAACTTTATAAAGCACTCTACAAGACGTCCTCGATTGCGAGGTTGAAGAGAAATGGAGAGATAGCACAGCTTGTCATACACCGCTATGCAGAGTGAAAGGCGTGGAAAGTTTGCTGTAGATCTTCACTCTGCCGGATATATGAAGGTAAAGTGCGAATAGGATGGCGGTTCACTTCGCTGGCACCCTATTCTTCAGCAACCAACGCGAAAAAGCGGGTCGGTCAACCGAGTCTAATGCAGCTCGCATGCCTAGGAATGCAACAATATTGGGCCTGTGGCAGATGTGACGATGTTCGAGGAGTTTGCGGTGCGTGAAGACTTGATCCACACATTCGGGGTGGGGACGAAGACGAGCTTGTTCCTCACGGTAATAGAATTCACGTCTCGGGGATAATCTATAAAGCAGTATGGATGCCAATAGCTTGGGGGCAGCCGAAAGGAGACTAATTTCTCCGTGATTGAAACAAGAAGTTAGAGCCTCTTTCTTGAAAATCGAGGCAATAGTTGATTCGCTCCAAGAGTAAGGCCCTTTTCCTTCATGCCAGCATTTTGCGAACGTGGTCATCTGGTTAATGATCGCCACGCCGCCATACTTTGACACATCCGGAGGAAGTCAGTCTGAGCCGGCAGTGTTTAATCATTTCATGCGTCGAATCTCGAGGCAGACTTCCTCTTCACTGGGTAGGTCCAATGGTACGAGCCTGCACAGGCAAAAAGGCGTACTGCGTGCATGGATGGACTGTGGAGGCTAGTTGCATTGCGACTGAAAGTGCTCAGCCCAGCGGTCCAAAGGCTTCTGTTGGTTGTTATTCAGGGACCCATCCGCCTCTCAACTAACATCACTGACACCAAGCTTCCTGATTCCAGTGGACCGGATAAGTTGAAAAAGCGTACGAGTGTTGCTAGAGTGGGCAGTGGTTTCCATGAATAAAACACGTGCAGCCCACCAAGCCTAGTGCGCATTGCACAGGCTTTACTTGAGCTGCCGTTGGCAGAACGGCGCCCCTCGTTGTGAACTGAATTTGTCGGGCTATTTCTGCGGTGGTCGAACAGCTCCAGAGGGCGAGCAGAGTTCCCACCCTTTAAGGGGCATCGGGCTAGGCCACGCCTTGACTGTCCGGAAGTGATCATCGTCTTCTACCTACAAGTCCAGTGTTGCCCTATGTTTTGCAAAGAACTGCGACTGAGTGCGTATACCAATGAAGGATGATAGTTTGCCTGGACCGAGGAATCAACTAATCTGTTCGCATCATTCTTTTGGTGCCTTCAGTTTATGATCTGTTGGACTAAAATAAACGGAAATCTACTGCTTAACGCATTCGTAGTAACCTCTGTTCACTGTTTCGGACAGCAGCCTGATGAGGATAAACTCGGTGCTAGCACACTGCATGGAACTCGTGGAGTCTTTCAGAACAGGGCTAGTAACTCACCCAAACTGCGATTAGTTTGTTGCGGACACACAAGACAGATGGATGCAGCATCTTGTCCATTGCTATCGATTAGACACTGTGTGTTCATTCCTTTGGTACTGATTTCTCTCCATTTGTCTTCGGAGCTTTTTTGCTGGTCAACGTTATTTTACAATAGCAGATTGAACGAAACTTAAATTTAAAGTAACCGTTGTCTTAATCATTTGCACACCTGGTGAAACCATTTCGAGCTACCACTATATTTTATCTGCTTCTTCTGTTTTCGAGTCAGCCGGAACTGAAATCGTACATGCTCAGCCTCATGCGAATGCTTCGACTTATCTTCTCCTATTCAACACATTATCGATCACCCACAAACATGACTATCCTGTTCATGAAGGTGAGCACGCTGTTCGCCTTACTGTGTCTATCCCTTCTCTTATTACTGAGGATTAGTTACAAGTCGCCTGCGCCGACAAACTAATTACCGTACATTTATTTTGTGACTGCATCTGGTGTATTAGCAACAACAATACTGAATGCTACATAGAAATGACGTATTTACGTGCTTTCCTATGACATGTTCAGATCACCAAGCAGTTGATCAAACGCTGTATGGAATATCTCACAGAAAACGGTATGGTCTCTATCTGGAATCAGCCCATTGATGTAATGCTCACCAAATTGAACTACTGTGTATCCTTGAACGAATCCTACCAAGCAGCATATGATAAGATAAGCCAAGAGGATGATCCCAAGGGAAAGTATACGAAAATGGAATTTTCTCGGATCCAGATATTCGGAGACTTCGATTCGTTTATTACACGGGTGAAGGCTTTGACATTCATCATGGAGAACCTACAGAAGTACACGGCCATTGAGCATTTGGCCGTCGAAGGTAAGATGGCATTTGGATAAGTTCAGTTGTGTCGTCAATCAGAGTAGAGTGAAGTCGCCTCGGGCCCTAACTTGGCTCTGCATTTTCAAATTGGAAATAACTAAATGGTATATTCTTCAGTGGTGCGAGCCACAGTCCAAAAATTTGGTCTGATCAATGTGTACAGCAGGATCGCACGAAATAGATAATTGTTTATGATTTATACAACGGGTCAACAACGGATATTAACGTACTTGGCAGGGTTAAAGTATCAAAGAAATTGAAAAGCTGGGAACAATAACTATACAGCTTTAAAGAAATGTTCAGGTCAAGTAATATGGCCATCCGTGGAACCGTCCCCAGGAGACCTGCTTCCATGCACGTTCCACTCGTACTTCCATGCCCTTTCTGAAAATGTGCCGGTGTGGCAAAGCAGCCTATAAGCCATCACCTGTGTCAGCAACTTCACCTGTCTGTCTCACTTCTTGGACGGATTTGCCTACACATTGCGGACAGTAAGATCTAATGCAGCTAGAACAGGTTACACTGATCTTAAGGACTTTACTGCAATTGTCTGCGCAACATAGGCGACGTTGAACCACTGGAATGCTAGTCGTCCTCTTATAGTTTACAGCAAGGCCTATCTAAGCGCTCAGCTTGATGAGTGTTGTTTGAGCCAGGCGTGACGCACGAATAGATCAGAACACTAACACGAATAGATAGTTGTTCAACCGCACCAATGTCAGGCGGTAAAGGCAGAAGGGAGGTCGTAACACACAGACTGTCGGGTTCAGCGATCACTCGACTCGCAGTTGAATACACACGCATGTGAGGTCAGCGATTGCTTCACACTTCCTGCAATATGTCAATTGCGTAACTTTCTGCGATCCGCTTATAGTTCAAAATTAGGACCATTTCTTTCTTTATTCTGATATTCAGGGAGCCTCTGACATGTTCCATGACAATGTGACCATGCGCTTAAGCATGCGTGCCACAAGAGATAATACGAGGGCCTCTTCTCAGTACTTTATCAACGCAAAGGATAAGTGGAAAATACGAACGCTAACTCGAACATATGAACGTACTCACAGCTTCAGCAAACTACTGAGGCTCCAACACCTTCGTACTGAGACGTACAAGAAACACCAAACTAGTCTCACGCAGGAAGAACAAAGAGTTGTAAATAGTAGTAATACAAGGCAACTGTTTAATGCATTATTGAAAAAAAGGAGAGGCGGCAAAATTGACCTACCCTCCCACCTGGCTATTCCTGCAGGCGATTCCATTAAATAAATAAATAAATAAATTTGTACATTTACCGACGGACGGTACACGGCCCCATAAGTGGGAACGATCATTTTGCTATAGCAGGAGCCATTAGCTCATATGCTGCTGAATCCTTTAAGCTTGAAAAAGAAACCCTGGACTTGTCAACCTGGGTTAATTTCTCTGAACAAGTCTCAGCGATCGAGCTTAGTGTCGCTACGATAAACAAATAAATAAAATTTTATTCCGGGATCGTGCAAGGCACAGACCAGTTGAGTGGGCTTATCGACATGTACAATTTGATCGCATAATATAGTTAAGCTTACGTATTTCGTTAAATGGTCCCATACGGGTTTCCTGAGGTAATCAGCAGTTTGAAAATAGTAGAGATCAAGAAACTGGGAACAATAATAAATGTAGATTTCACGGGAAATTCAAATAAAGTAATACAGTCATCCATGGAACTTCCCCCAGTGGACTTGCTTCCATGCAAGGTATTCCCTCGATCGGTTTCACCCGCACTTCCATGCTCCAACTGGCTCTGTGCTGGTGTGGCAAAATAGGAAATAGGCTATCAGACTGGGTATCAAATGTTTTTTTTCATAAGTGATGTTTTATGCATACATTATGGGCGATGCAGCCTCAGCCCGTTCCGTCATGTGGATCAATCAAGTATGGCACTTTTTTGTTTTAAGCCAGCGAGTCAGTATCAATATAATGTAATGTAACGTAATGTAATGTAATGGAAGCTGTAATCCGTCACCACAAGTGATCAGCCCAGTCATGACCAACAAGGGAACCAAGAGGAAGAGAAAGTATGAGGAATTAAAAAACATAATAGTGAATACAAACGCTTGCCGATAGGCCAATCACAATTTGATGGGAAATCTTGGCGAGTGACGACGATGGTACAGACATCAGCTTGAAAGGCGTAGTGCATCTACGAACCGGTGAGTCAAAGGAGCAAACAGAATTGGTTAGACGAAGTGATAGGAGTAAGATCGTTTATAAATACAAACTCATGCTGAGCATGCCCAAAAGTCGTGCCTCGCTTTGTCGAGAATAAAATATTTATTTATTTATTTATCTAAGAATTTAACTATATATAGGTAAGCTTATAATATTGAAAGAAATAGAGGATATGGCGACTTTCAAATGTATCCAGGACCTTTCTCAGACAAATCATCTAGAGTCACCGTTTAGCTTATTGTTGACCAGATATTTAAAACAGTCAGGTGAATATTAATCATGCGTCTGAATTGCGGATAGGTAGTGCAGTTTCTAATACTCGATGGAAGTTTGTTCGATATTAACGCATATTTTACGGAGAAAACCTTTGAACGGAGCTTTGTGCGAGACTTTCGGATTTGCAAGGTGCGCTCGCCGTTCCTTAGTTCATAGCGCATACGAGTCCGAAACTCGAGTTGTGGCTAAGCAGTGAAGCTTAATCCAAATAGTAACCGGTATAGAATGCAAAGATTAAGTTTGAGTCTACACAGCCATAGCGACTCCAGTTGTAGAGCCTCGCAACGCCCACGGTATGTCGTGGTATTAGGCATGTTCAAAAACCGCTTTGTGAATGATCGTTCAGTGTTTTCTAGTGCTATGATGTCCACTTTTCTCAGATTACTATGCACTATCGTACAATACTCAAGCTTCGGCCTAACACATATTTTAAAGGCTTGAAGCCTGGAATCCTTCAACATAAGAGTTCAACTTATGGGGGCGATCACTTTTCTGGCAGAAGCCTGCAAGAATATAACATGCTTTAAAAATTATATGAGGCACAATATCTTAAACCAAGGTCTCGGACTGCGCCACATATAGCAATAGGGGCATCGTTTAGTGTTAGGATGTTCGGAGAAGAACCACAGCCATGGTACAATAGATTACTCTTGTCAGTGGCAAAGTGCACCTTCCAGGAGTTACTCCAGTGCTCCAGTGCGGACAAGTCCGACTGAGTACAGGCTAAATTAGGACTACATTGCCCAAGGGCGGAACAATGCACCATTTTCACATCATCAGCGAAAAGGAATGGCTTCCCGTACGAGATTTCATCAAGGAGATCGTTAAAATAGATTAAGAATAAAAGTGGTCCTAGCACGCTACCTTGAATCACTCCACTAGAGATTGTGGTGGCTTCAGGTGTATAGGTACCAATTTTGACTACTTGCTTCCTACCTCGAGGTAGGAAGACAACCAATCTAGAAGCGAATTTGAGATACCATAGGACATAAGCTACCGCAACAATAATTTGTGTGGAACACGTAAAAACCTTTTGGATGTCAAGAAATATTACAATGATGGCACTTCCGGCGTCTCTTGCTCTAGTCACATAATGAAGCTAATCTAACTGACAGGTAGTGCACGACCTACCTTTAAAAAACCGTGCTGATATTTACTGAGAAGACTCATAGAACTCAAATATTCTGTTATGCGTTCTTTAACTAACCTACCCATGATTCTGGAGATAATAGATGTGTGGTGAATTGGGCGGTAATTTTTTCCACCTTGCGTGGATCCGTTTTTGTGTCGTGGTATTATAGTTGTTTGTTTCCAGTGCATAGGATACTCCCCATTGAGCATGGAAAGTGTAAATACATTAAGCAAAAACAGAGGGATGTCTGGACCTCCTTGCTTTACCAGTATTGGAGGGATGTTATCAGGGCCTGTTGAGCATGATGGCCGAACTAATCTGAGTTAGCGACATGTCACTAAGTGTAAATTCCACAGTTTGGAGTGTATTACTGCCTCTGTGCATCAGCTTGCGTTGAGGATCTGCTTTCGCATTAGTGCTATAAGTAGACATGAAGTAGTCATTGAAGATCGAACATATGATTGCGCGATCTGTTATGGCAGTTCCATCAGAGTTTACAATCGAGTTTATACAAGTTGATTTTCTATTCTGCCTACGGTCCAAAAGTTTTGAGATGCATCCTACCACATTGGCGCCCTTCAATACCATTACCTCCTCAAAGCATAGCATTTCGTGGTGATCTTGGTATAACGCTGTAAGCAATATGGTGTGGAGCATCAGCAGAGTAAAATCGTTTGTTTTCCTAAATTTTTTCTTTATTTTATGAAGTTTAGTGGCTACCATTTTCAAGATGCCAGCAGGTGCAGCAGCCCTTTTCAACTTTCTAGTAGTTTTGCAACCACAATTTCAACAAAACCTGTATACGGTGGTAGAACACATCACAAGTAATTTGAACATTCTGTGCTAAGAAAAATGGATCCCAATTTGAAGACCTTATAAGATCCGAGAAAACTGACCAATTCACGGAAAAGTATGGGCGGTAATTCTCACTGATTCTATCGGTTTAGCAGAATTTGTAAATAGCAACCAATGATAAAAACCTTATGTTGTCCACCCGGAAACACTGCGCAACCACAGGTAACACCCAATTTCCATCTGCTTTGAGTACGGTCCAGTGTTCCCAGTGTTCAATTCCCTGTGAATCACGGTCTATTACATTAAGATTGCACGTCGCAATCCAATCACACATCGTGTAGTCTAATCTTGACCGTCCAACAGCCAACTGTGTTATGATCACTAGCCGGAAATCTGTCACTGATATATGTGGACACATGTGAACATCCCATCGTAAATATTAAATCAAGTGTGTTATCAAACCTAGTATGCTCTTTGACGTGTTTTACCTATCCCAGTCGACCAAGAGTAGGACTCAAATTATTGTGTATTTGTTGTCTATTGTTAAGGGCCCCTGGGATTTCGGGTAACTTAAAATCCCCCTGGCACTCTTTATCATTCCATCCACCATAGTAGTAATAGTAGTAGTAGTACCAGTAGGCCTAGTAGTAGTAGTAGTAGTAGTAGTAGTAGTAGTAGTAGTAGTAGTAGTAGTAGTAGTAATAGTAATAGTTGTAGTAATAGTAGTAGTAATAGTATAGTAGTAGTAGTGGTAGTAGTAGTAGTAGTAGTAGCAGTAGTAGTAGTGGTCGCTTCAGAGTGTTCTGCAGAAATCTTTACCTTGAGATTCGACAGTCCCATCGGGATAAGACGGGGAGGGGGAGTTTGTAGGGGAATACAAAAGGATGGTGTGGTAATTTGGAGCCATCAAGTTCAATTGGAAAAGGTGTTATTTCCGAAGGTTTCGCGGAGGGCATTTGGAGAAGAGAATGCGGAAGAGACAATGGACAGGGACTTAATTAAGTGGTTTGTGTTGCAGCAAAGCTAAATAGAGGCCTGGCAGGAAAATTTCCTTAGCACATAGCCTGAACAATGGGAAGTGTGGCTTGCCACTCTGTGTAAGCGCATTAGTACTCACGATTGTCACAGGGAAACGGGAGTGGTCTTTCCAGGATGAGGACCACTATTTGATCTAACACGCTTAGAGCATAGACCATGGCCAGCGCCGCTATGTGTAGCCGTAATGCCAATGGACCGTAATGCACCTTCACTGAAGCTAGCGATAGTCTCACTTAACGTTTTTGGACATATCTGTTTTAATTGTGGTGTGGGGATTGATACCAATTCTTACAGGTTTATCAGTATGTGGTACATTGTGTGAATCTACTATACTTCCTATGTCCATAAAGCAGATGTCGTGTGGACTCGTGAGCATCTCAACTTTATCTGAGTTTTTACAGCAAGAGATTCTAACGTTGTTGATTGACCTCCTTCTTGGCACTGCAGGAGGCGCGCAAAGGGCATGACTGCTTCGGCTCATGCGAGACATTAGTTGCACTCGTTGTTGAACTTCCCGTGGCAAGAGTGACTTGTCTTCGGATATCAAAGCTGTTAAATTTCGGAACAGATCTCAAAGTATTTTGGCTTTTAATATACGCACTTGTGAGACGTTCGCTGCGAAAGCTGTACAGAGTCGGACAAGGAAAACGTAAAGATTTTTCCGCAGTCTTCTGCAGCTACTCTCTGGCGCAGCAAGGTTGCACGCTTTCGAAACAGTATACGTAATGTCGTCGATCGAGATACTGTTAGCTATGCTGACGGCGATGGCATTGTTTCCTCTTCTGCATCTTTGGGTAACCTCAGAGGCGACTGCATATAAAAAGTGTAAAGTTCCAATTTTGTGCTTTGGCTCTGGATTAGCCAGAGCCTGAATTGTATGAAACGGACATAAGGATATCCACACTGAGTTGATCAAGTTTAATTTCTTCTTTTTTTGGCTATCTCTTCGTCTTTATTCTGACTGGCAATGGAGATATATGGTCGACAACACTAACTGAACTCACAGTCACTGGTCTTTTTGACTCATTTACCGGCTCTTGCATCCCAGGCGGCACGGAATAGGTGAAACAAGGCACAGGTTCCTCGGCTCTTGTTGTGATCGCAACGGTATAGCTTACCGTGGTTACCCGGTTTTCAGCACCTTTCTTATTGCACGAGTGTTAATGGCAGTCATTTGTCTTGTAAATGGGATTAGAAAAGCTATATGCTCTAGCCCAGCAGGAATTCTGAGGTAACAAAGTCATTAAGGTCGAGTGACTTACCATTTCTTGTTTCCACACTAAAATGTTGGCTGCTGAAGGAACTAGAACAATGTGGCTAACATACAAAAGTCTCAATCCTTAAGGTTTACAGGGCGAACATTCAAGTAATGAGAAATAAAACGGTCAAAATAGAAATACTTTGTCCAATCCGTTTACTTATACAACGATGTGTTCTGCTTATGTAAGTGCTTCCGCAACTACAAACAAATTGATGAATGCGGTGTGTTTCGGCTGAGACTGGTTGACAGAGTTTGACTGGAATGATTGATTGTTTTCTGGTTGTTCAAATAGGACATACTATGGCAACGTTAAATTTTCGGCGAATAGCTGTGTTCAACCGTCTTTCAAGTTGCGCCGTCGCGATTACCCTTAAACGGTAACTGTAAGTAGACAGGCATGTGGGGCACGGTAAGAGAGACATGTCTTTCTGAGCAACTTGGATTCCCAGTGTTCACTACATTAGAATAGAATGCCAAGGAAAGCGGTTAATCTTCAGTAGCAATCCGTAGTTTACTCACTGTTCCGTCTATTCTCGTTCATCCTGTTTGATAAGGAAAACATTGCTCTTGTACTTACACCACCACTGCAGTGACGTAGCAACTACTTTTGCCACCCAAGTCGATAGTAACACCGCCCTGACTGAAGTCCGAATAGGCTCGTGAAGGCCACACAACCGGCTGAGGAGGAAGTGCACATTAGTCTTCAATGAAATGGATTATCGTTTGGGACGTTGAGCTAAATTTAGTAAAACTGACCACAATGGGACAATTAAGGGGATTACTGGGAAGAACGTTTGCATAGGCATGACACATGGCACAAATGTGTTGTTGGTCTTACAGTGTAACATTAAAATATTCAAACCTAAGCTTACCTGGAAATTCTATCGTTTATGTTTAGTATGGAGCAACCAACGGTACTAAAAATGCCGCCCCCTTCACATGCCTCCCGGGGTGGAACGCCCCCCTCCCCCGTCCCCTTGCTGCGTCTTTCGCCACTGCTTCGACTTGTGTTGTAATGGCCCAGTAAAGCAGTCTGATTGAGGAGAATACCACACCAGTTACCATAGGTCGACGATCTCGACTGCGGCGTCTAGCTGTACAACTTTGTATCCATGGTGCATTATGGACCTGCGCATCAAAAGTGCCGGATACCTGAGTCGCTTGTGTTCTTTTATCATAGAATTAGGCATTGGACCCTGCAGCAGAGCTACGGATTCAACTATTCGGTATGAACTGTTGGTCTGTGAAGTCGATGCCCCGAGCCTACGGGCACGGTTTCTTTAACGCCTGTCGCTCTCTCTCTAGCCACGGCCCAAGCAGGTTACTTGCTGTGACGCATCCATATGCCTCTGTGGTCCCACAAGCATCGCCTCCAGTAGTCGGGTACTATGCCCTAAAGAAGTAGACGCTCAGCTGGCCTGACTCATTGAGCTAGACAAACTGATTTTATTTTTAAATGTCATTCATATGTGACCTCACAGTTATACTAAACATATCTATCGTTGTACAGAAAGGACAGAACTGTTGGAACATTTGTCGAAACTGAGAGGTGACTTCAGCTCAAAGCCACATGATTACTTGTCAGCCAACAGTAGTCAGTTTACGAAGGGCTTGACAAATTTTACCGAAGGAATAAGGTGTTTAGAGGTAAGTCAGTTGATGTTAATTTACGCAATTTTGCTCATTGAAGGTCCATTTTCTCATGCAGATATTACAACCAATGAGATACTTTGTGGTATACTTTGAATTCAAACAATTGCAAGAAAATTATTTCGGTGGCATGACTAAGCTTGTTTCTTTTATCATAATATAATATTAATAATACCAATATTAATAGTAATAATAATAGTAATACGTGTATTTCTCCTGATGCGAGAAATTGTGTCGGTAGCGGCACAGATCAATTTGTACAGAAGCATGCATGCTCTTGCGTGGGTGACATTCATAGGTGGAGTATTGGGATATGCGTTTCATGTATTAACATTCTACCGGATGGTTGAGGTAAAATCCTAGTTTTGAAAACATTGGTGGTTAGATATTTTTGTGCCCCACTTGGAATAGCTCATCGATGAATTTTTCCCATGTGAATCTAGTGATTATGGTATTTATATCAAGGTGACTGCCGTTTTTGCTTCCAAATGTTGCCACATTGTTACATGACCTGAGTCGTTTAGTAGAGTGACTTTCCCTACTGCTGCTCCTAAAGCTTTTGCTACCGTTGCTACCGCTGCAACTGCTTCCATGTTAAGAACTTGCGTAGGCCACGAAGAAAAGACAGGCACGTTCCATCCGAGAAGCAAGTACTATTCGCTTTTACGCAGAGCTCTGCTGCAAGATCGTTTACTTGCGCAGTGCTAGAGCCTTAACTGAATATAACGTGGTAGTTTCTCGACGCGAATGCATGGGTGAAACGGATATATAAGTCAACCATCTGGAGACGTTAGCCCGCCCCGGGGTACGTGGTGCAGTAGAAATCTTCGCCTACATCTAACGATTCTCTAAAGTCCGACTGTATCTGCCCTCGTGCTGCCAGGGGCTTTAATGCTGGCATCATTGTAAACACCGTGGTCACCTGCTACTTACATTTAGTTAACAGATCATGAGGTTTTCTTCTTGTTAGTATCGCGCTAAAACGTGAGATCTTGAGACTTTTACACACTCCTCCTAATGTGTAACCTTCTCAATGACAACCGCCCTACATTAGTTAGAGCGGCTTGCACAGCGGCCAAACACACACTTCAACCCCCACGTTTTTGATAATTTTACCGTTAAAGCCACGTTTCAAGCATGCATCTCGTGCCAGAGAAGTGCTTATGTTGTAGTCAGAGTCTCATGTCATTTGGGATAGTTATTCACCGTCTGACTTGGTAGGTAGTGATAGTTGTTCGATTGGAAGTGGTGAATTCACGCATCGTGCGTGTTGTCACTTCTAAACTATTTGGCACACGGTTGATATCCCCAGATAGACACACCTCGAGCGGGATAATAAAAGTCTAGCTCATTTCTGCTGAATGAGCGGTCCAATCTCCGATGCAAGATGTGAATGGTGCCTCTCAGGGACTAAAAGAACTTTTTTCTATTACTCTGCCCTCGGTTGAAGTGTCGGCTGTTTGATAAGGAGAGAGGGGAAAGCTATGCAATTCATAGTTCAGACAAATACCGACTTAGCAGAATTTGTTTTCGCAATTTTCTTAATTTGTTCTATTTGTAGCACATATTTCTCTGACTCAACTTTCAGTGTCTATTACAATCTACGCAACCGCCTTTTGGCTGGCATTAGGTACTCAACTCAGCCATGACCTACATTTGACCAGTACCAATCTCGATGAAACGGCACCTTAGGATGGTGCGACGCTTTGCGTACCTCCGTAGTCCACTGAACCACGATGAGTGGCACTATTTAAACGCCTTTACGGCCACTCATACCAGACAGACCAACGATTAAGAATCAGACAAAACGCAATTTCATCTTCGAGGATTAGAGAGAGGTCATTGACGCACTCCATTAAAAAGCTGTCAAGGAAGACAACTGGTTTGGGGTTATAAGCTCATGACGATTGGAGCGAAGCACGAAAGCAACACATTGTCTCTGACGATGGGAGGACATGCCTGATAGTCAATGATTTGCAACCGTCAAATGGGTGAAACACCACTGACTCTCACTTGCGGTTGACCATGGTCGCAGGTTTGTATCATACTACGGTCGTAAAACATATGTAAACAGTTGTAAATCTTTAAAGACTGTGTGTGACAGATCACAAGCAGATCTCAATCAATCTATGCAATTGCATTCTCGAGTTAGACTTGCTACCTCATGCCTTGTGATTCAGACTGTTGAGTCAATGGCTAGAGGCAGGGCACCTCGAACGTAACCCAGTTTTGGGAATAGGCAGCCGGAGAGTATCATTTGCTCTCTCGACCCCGGTAACAATACTTCCTCTTCATGTTTTTCTCCCGCCTATCAACTCTTTTCTCCACCTATTGAGCAAGACACTGCCTCTGACCTCGCAGCGGCTGCCATCGAAACATGTAGGCCGTTCATTAAATCAAGAGCATTATTTCACAAGGGTTTCTTTAACGTCCGCATCCTGGAATTTACTAGGTACTTACTGTGTCTTTACTGTGTTGCTATTGCTATCATCAAGAATGCTGAATGCAATTTACGCAATTGGATATCAGTGGACAGCCACTTGTGTGCGGCTCGACTCTGAAATTCTACGGGTCAATAAGCAACGTCTGAAAACAAGGTGCCACTTCATCACCTGCGTTCATGTCCCTACCGAATGCAGTTCGGAGAGAAACAAAGACGACTATCGTCAGGACTCACTTATCTCCACAAGGCGAAAAACATTGACATCTTGCTTGTTGTTGGTGTTATGAAAGCCCAAGTGGGTCGCCTTTCATCTTTTGAACAACACCTGGAAGGTCACTTTGGGGCCGATGCACGCCGAACAGATCATGGTGATCGATTCTTATAGTGACGCGCGACCACAGACTTTGTATTAGCAATAATGCTTTCCAGCACAAGCGTTCACATCGTGTTTGTTATGTCAGGGCCCTGTGACTGCTTCCGCCCACTAACGGTAGTGAGATCAAGAAAGACCAGAGGCAAAGATTCAAGGGTTCTTTTACATAGAGAAAACAATTCGTTATATATATATATATATATATATATATATATATATATATATATGGGCAGGTAAGCCTGTGGTGCGCTGAGGCTTGTGGTTGCTAGATTCTGGCAGATGGTCTACCCACCACTGCCACTGTTGTGTGCCCTTGGCTCATGTCCTGGACGCCTCGTGGCGACCGCTGGGTGGGAGTTGTGTTACGCCCTTCTCCCTGCTAAGATCCAGGACACCAATCTGCATGAGTCAATGAACTGACTATGTGCTAGACCCGTTGCCTTTCTGGTGTACATTTAATCGAAGGTCTTGGCGGAGGGCCCGAGTCCTTCTCCTGTCAGGTGTGGGCGCCTTGCCCGTAGTTCATCCTCTTCGGAGGTTAGGAAGTGGTCGATGACCCCTTTCCGTAAAACCTTATCATCATCATCATACACGTTAGCTAGAGGTGGGGAACACCTCAGCTACTGTGCCGCAATACATAGAAAAAAGGAGAAAAAAAGCAACTGGTGCAAGCTGGCTGAGCTACCGGTAACGGATGGGCATCGTTCCGGTGAGCTACCAGCCGGCTGCTGTGCACCCAAAAAGAAAATTATTATGCAAAATTATACAAGGCTAAATAATGAGATCGTGGTTGGAGGGGGAGGCTAAGAGGGATGGGGTGGGACAAAGAAACTCACAGCACGAACGCCACTGAGGTCGGCTCCTAGCCATATCAGCAAGTGTGTCCAACCAAACATGTTCATCGTCTTTCGGACCCCAACTAGGGAGCCGAGACGCTCCAACCGAGGGCAGCTCAGAAGTGAGGGTCTTCATTCCTTTGGACCAAGTCATCGCTTGGCCACCCATCCTCTTCTTCCATCCACACCCCCGGCGCGCAAACAACACACGTCGCGGGAGTCGGTGGGCTGACATGCGTAACACGTGGCCGAGCCATCGGAGCCTGATGCGTGAAATAACGGTGCTGAGCGGTTCACTTCCTTTTGCTGTGCCATAAACAAGGCGTCGAACACGCTCGTTACTCACGCGGTGTTCCCACCAAATGTGAGCTAAATTACGAAGGCACCGGTGGTCGAACGTAACTAGCCTCTTCAGGTCCGCTGCTTTAAGCGGCCAGGTTTCACAACCGTACAGTAGGGTCGAACGTACTGCTGCATTGTACACTCTAGCCTTCAGGGTGATAGTGATGTCACGCCGCCGCCATAAGCGGCGAAGGTTAGCAAAAGCGCCTCGTGTTTTGCTATACGATTCGTGATTTCATCTTCAATCCCACGGGTGCTGATATCACTTCCCAGGTAGTTGAATTTTTGAACGACTTCTAGCTGATCCCCACCAAGGGTCAGCGTAGGAGGCGGTCCAGACCAATCTTGGAGAAAGGCTTTGCACTTCGAGGGTGCGAAGCAAAGCCCGAAGTGACAGACAGCTAGCTGGTAATCTGTCCAGTGCCGCTTGGCACGTTTGTGAGCTGTCACAGATCAGGGCAATATCATCAGCCTACTCCAAGTCAAGAAGCCGTTCTCCTGGGAGTAGCTCCACACCTTCCAAGTCATGTCCTGTGAACGCGATTTCCATGACTTCGTCAACAGCGAAGTTGAAGAGGAAAGGTGACAGCGGGCATCCTTGTCTCACGCCGCTGGAGATATTAAAGGGCGACGACAACTTGCCGTAAGACCTCACTCTGCCCGAGCTACGCGCATATAATGCTTGGATAATATTCACATATTTCTCAGGTACACCTTTCCTGAGTAGACAGTCCCAAAGTGCATGTCTATCCACCGAATCGAATGCACCTTTGATATCGAGGAACACGACAACGGTGGGCCGCCAATATATGTGACGATGCTCCAACAACTGACGCAAAGTGAAGATGTGGTCAATGCAGATACGACCTCGACGAAATCCAGCTTGCTCTTCGCGAATCTGGCTTTCACGAGTGCCAGTCATTCTGTGAAGGATGACAGAAGCTAGCAATTTGGAGGCGATGGAGATCAGACTGATTCTTCTATGGCTGCCGCATTCCGATCG